TTCGCAATGTACTGATATTATCAAAGAAACAGAATGACTAACTAAGTTGATCGATTTCAAAGATAAAACGATAAAATCTTGAAAATCTGACATCGGCGTATTTTATTTATTCTAACCTATGATTTTAGGACGCTAATCAGCTGTGCTAATCAGGCTTAAACATAAACAAATCTGATTAGTTGTTTTCTCGCATTTTTGCCTTTATTTACAAGTGTGTGTTCTTGTGAGTTTTCTTTTCGATATATTATCGTTCCGAGAGTTTTTAAGGTTTAATTTTAGTATCGTTTTGTTGCGTACTAATTTGTAATTATTGTTAAATATGAATACTGAACAGGACACGAGTAGCAGGAAAGACGAGATGGTGGCAATGTGTGCTTATAAAGACTGTGTAAAAATAGGTTTTATTCTTCGACAAACATAATATTTCACACTTTTCCAAAGGATCCTGAAAATATTTTTTAGAAATGTACCATATATAATCATGTTATTAAACCAAATGTAATCCATAGATCGAAGACATGGTTAGAAGCTTGTAATATACTTTTACAAAGAAAATTGAACAACTCTTATTTTTGTACATAAACCCACATTGTGATATTGTAGAATGGAGGGAGTTAATCACCCTTAGAGATCTATTGCGTGTTCATTGTAATATTACACTTGTTCAAAAAAGTCCATATGTAAAAAAATACACGTAAATAAAACACTTCTTACAAATCGACTTAGTCACTTTATCTTGTTTACCAAACGATATGTACAAAATAGTTCTTCTTTATTATCTTTATTTAAAAAAAAAAAAAAAAACTATAATTTATTTTATATAATATTTATAAACTCTTTTTTTCGCTCTCTATTTACTCTTTACCCATACAGTAACTATTTATAAGCTATACAGGCAAGTTTTTAATAATAGTCTACTCGCAACTTCCCAGTTACGAAAATTTAAAGGGACAAGCGAGACGAGGTCACTCTCCCCACCACTCAAACATGAAAGGTACCGCGCGAACTGTCGTCTCTGCCTTTACCAAAAATAGTATATAATGTGTAAATTGGCAACATAGCAGAATAATTTGAAAATGGCGCTGTGACGAAAGCAACCGAACGACGACGACAAGGTCAGCTACCTAAAGCCTAAAACACCGTTTCTAGTATCTCCATTATCTATGGTATATGTAAATTTATGTAGTATGCAGTTCATTTACCAATCCAATATCGATTTGATTATATCGATAGTAAGTCCCATTACTAAATTTTGAAGTTTAGTGCTGACAAGTTGACAAGTATGACGTGAGTATGACTGTGATAGTTGACAAGTGACAGTGTGACAGGTCTTTTGGATTTCCATTCTTCTACAACGTGCTAGAATTAATCGAAAATTCAGGTATTGTTAAGAATATAGTTTAAATTTCTTTATAAATCATATTGCTGTTAGTAAATTTGCATCATACTTAAATAAAACATTTATTAATTCAAAATTCATCCAAATAAAAAAAAAAAAAAAAATATAAACTAAATAAATTAAAATCAAAATATTAATTAGGTGCTTTATTTCCATTTAATAATTATATTAATTTTTACTGGCATTTAGCTTTAAAAAATAATGAAATATTTTTAATATATCAATATTTGAAACAAGAAATAGCCATAAACAAAATAACAAACATCGTACTTTTTTTTAAATGGCACGTGTAAAATTGTCATTTTAAATTTTCTCACCCATAGTTTGAGTTCGAAAACCATTTACTTAAATACGCACATTACTAAATAAGATATTAAGTTCCAACTAATCAAGGTATTTATTAAAACATCTAAAAAAAAAAAAAAAAAAACTTTTTAAAAATTAATTGTAAGTTCATCTCATCTCTTAAAAATTGCTACTTCTCAAAATGCCATTAAAAATAGACCATATACCATATAAAAGAAAAAATAATGAAAGATCGGACTAGGGAAAACCACACAAATTTCGGAAAAATTTTGACGCACCTGCACATGCACACAAACGTCAATAAATAAAATTAAAAATAACTACTATTTAGTATTTTAAAACTAGTTACATAAAAACGCAAAAAATAGCACAGTATTATAACGGCGTAAGTAAAGAAAAAATTTGAAGAACCAATAATGCACCGACGCATACAAAAACGAATACTAAATTCATTTATATCCACCCATTCGATAGTCGTGACTTAACGATAACCATATTTTTAGTCGCACGGCCGAGTGTCCACATTAGCTTAGCTTTACAAATGAATTGAACTGATTTTTCGAATAGAGAACCATTCGATAGTTGAAATCATTCATTCATTAACCATTCGATAGTCTAATTCATTCGATAGTTCCCATCGCTAAAATATACCACCCTTAAAAATATTTGCACTTGTATAGTTTATGAAATAAAAAGCTTGTTTCAATATACGCGGTCTATTCAAGGAACGTAACCTCTGCCTAAAACGAAGGACTGTTGTATATTCTTAAGAATGTATTTTATATTATCATACAGTGTGGTCCATTATATGTATACGAAATATTGGACTTTTTATTAAAGTCCTATACAAATGGGAATACTGTCAAAAGTTAGTGCATGTCTGATAACCATATCAGCGGTACTTAGAATGACTGCAAGTCAAACAACTTACAGGGTGGGCCAAAAATACAAAAGTCGTTCAAGAGTAAAGTACCTTGTATAATTGTTTTTCACATATTGAGCTTGAATTAGTGAAGTGTCTGGCATATGAAAAATTTATTTTGGAACTCCTAAACATAAATTAACCACTTTTGCAACAGTAATAACATACATAATTATAGAAAAAAAAATGTGTGTGCACTTGACGCGAAACTTCTTACTAGCATCTAATTGAAGGATTTGAAGAACATGTTTGAAAAAGTGTAGTTTGAAATGTTAGAAAAGTAATAAATTAAAAATTAATAAATTTAATTCACTTTCACAAAATTGGCATTAAAATGACTGTCTGTATTGTATAATAATTATGTATAGTCTATAGTGTAGTATCTAATTTTTAAATAAATTTTTTAAGTCTTCAGTCAAATTCATTGTCTTTGACTTAAATCATTTTATTTCAAGTCAAGTCATTTTTGTGAAGACTTAAATCGATATATAACGTTATTTAAGTTGTTTTAAAGATAGCACTTTATTGAACAAAACCTAGGAATACAGAAAAAATATTCATACAGGCTCATCCTTTCATTACATCTATATCACAGATCAATCAAATATAATTATAGATAATTTGTTTTTTTTTAAGATAAAGTTACACAACATGATAAAAGATACTTGTATTATTTTACTTAACCTTAGAATACATACACAATAAAGTTTACAAGTACGCAATTTACAAGTTTACAAGTGTACAAGTTTAGAACATAAATTCTATATACAAATAAAAAAAACTAATCAGTCTACGAATCCTGTCAGAGCAAGTCTACTTTTATTTTCCTACCCCTTGTCCTTGAAAAATATATTTTTTGAGTTGTACTTTGAATGTTAGCATATTTAAATTCAACGTTAAAGAATCTGGGAGTTCGTTGTACAACTTAGCTCCATTATATGAGATGGAGGTTTGCCCCTTGCAGGTGAGCATTTTAGGCAGATTTACATCATTATGCCTCCTAGTGTTGTGATCATGCACCTGGGCCCTCCTATCAAATTTGAGGACAGAGTGTTTGGCATTTAAAATAATTCCATGTATACATTGACACACCTGAAACTTGTAGATACTATCAACCGACATTATATTGTGATTTGAGTACAGATCCATTGTGTGATACCTAACTGGTAGTTTGTATATATTTTTTATGGCTCTGTTCTGCAATGTTTTTATTGGTTTTAGTAAAGTTTCATTTGCCGTTGACCATATCATATTTAAATATTGGAGATGACTATGTACCAATGAAAAGTAAAGTGGTCTAAGAAGTTGTATTGTTTTTAGACTTAATTCTATATTTTTGACTTAAATCATGAAGATCTGCAAGTTAAGTCAGTACAATGACTTTAAAAAGTCAGTTTAAAAAGAAAAGCTGCTGTTAAAAATGTATTATAAAAATATGTAAAAATCTGACTTAAGATTAAAAACGATTAATTTCAATAATCGAGTACTCGAGTATCAAGCGATCGCTCGAGCGAAATATCGCTCGTATTTAAAAATACGGGTTTTGGTCCGCCGCTTGTTGTAAGTACCCTTTAACGCCAAGCGCCAAGCAGTAAGTTGCGTGCGCAGGGTACAGATTCTTTCGGTAATGAATGGCAAGTAGCAAACTACGAGCGATTCGCTCGATCGTTTGATTTAGTTTATTTCAAAGCCTTGTCGATGTAGGTCGTAAAATTTTGTCTCTCAGATACGCAACGGATAAATATATATATTTATATATACCGCGTCGTATAAATTTGCTACCTGCAATGTATGTAGAAAATTCGCTCGGCTTTTTATCGAGTATGTCACATTAAAATCGGATTTCAATTTATTTCATTGTAGGATCGTCGCTTGGTACTCGTCACTTGCATCGCTCTTTCATAATCGAGCGACGTCGGTTTTTTCAATAATCGGGTACTCGAGCGAAATTTCGCTCGAGTGATCCCATCACTCATTGTAATAACATGACATGCCACAAATCCATAATTCTGAATTATTAGACTTTTTGCTGTCTTGAAAAAATGTGTAAATTTAAATATTAATAAATATAAATTTGAAGGCGTTTTAAAGATAGTTTAGTTTAACTGACTAAGTATTTATCTAACAAATTTGTTGGATAAAAGGCAAGAAAAACACTGGTTATTAGTTAATAAAACTGATTTCTGGTTGAGTGGCTTTTTTTTTATTTAAATCATTTTAATGACTTGGTCAACATGATAACTTATATTATTACAATAAGCCCTTCAATTTAAGTCAGCTTTCGAAAAATGACTTAAAATCAAATGACCTAAGTCATTAAAATGATTTAAATAAAAAAAGACAAGTTTTCTGTGAGCTTGCAGCTCTGGATATAACTAAATAAAATTAATGATCATTTTCTGTTTACAGCAACAAATTGCATCATTAGAAGGTCTCAAGGTTTCTGATGTTTTATTGTATGCTGCTGGATGTCCTGTCTCTGACGACAGCTCGGTAGCTGCATTTGAGCAAACAGACATTGAACTTACAGTTGGCTTGCCTGGTGGAAAAGTCCATGGCTCATTGGCTCGTGCTGGTATGATTATTTGACAATTCATAATTTTAGTTTTTTGTAATAAAAACCGAAATAAAGTAATTTTCTTTATTGTGCAATATTCTAGTTGGAACTGATTTAAATAATTATTTATTTATGTTTGAAAATAAGAAGTGCATTAAGCAAGTTACAATGAGGTTTTTAGATACATTATGCTAAAAGTCTTGCAAGAGCTTGCTAAATAATAATGGAATTGTTTGAAGTGGTTTTAGATAATTTATTCTCAAAATCACTATAGATGTTACCACACATTTCCTTTTGTTTTATATGCTCTTAAAATATTTAAAATTTGTCTTTTAGATAAAGTAATTCTTTTTTATATTTGTGTAATTTTTTGAATAGGCAAAGTCAAGGGTCAGACTCCCAAGGTAGAAAAACAAGAGAAGAAAAAGAAGAAGACTGGTCGCGCTAAGAGGCGCATCCAATACAACAGACGATTTGTAAACGTTGTAGCAACTTTTGGAAGGCGACGTGGACCAAACTCCAACTCTGCTGCTGCTTCTTAAATAATTTAAATTCTTAAGAATGTATTCTGTTTGACTAAATATATTTTGTAAACCTTAACATGTGTTCTATTTTAACTTTATGATTCATATCTCTTATTTCTACATACAGTATTTTACTTAATATTCGTATTTTTACATATAGAGAGTCTTAAATAAGTGCAAATATTTTCAAGGCTGGTAGATTCGAGAAAAGAAACATATTTTCACTTTACTGTTTCAAAATAACCCATATATCTTACTTTGAAAACTTCCAAAAAAAAATTATTGCTTAAATTTTGAGCAAACTACTGGATTTTTTACCTATGTTGTCATATTATCAAAAAAATAGTTTTTTTTTCCAATTTTTTTTTTAAAAAATTCCAAATTTTTCTGAGTCGAAATAGTGATGAGAACAAAAATAGAAAAGTTCTGCGAGATCGAAATAACGGGTGCGTCTCAAAAGTGGCTCACCCCTATAACTTTTTTATTTTTTCAGGTAAAACAATGAATATTTGGTATGTTAGTATATGACATAAATTGGGATTGATTGACGTATTCAATTGTTTTCGGTCACTTCCGGTTTCACCGGAAATGACTATTACTTTTGATTTTTAAATGGCACCCTCGGTATTTTTTTACTTTATTCGATAGAAAAGGACACTCTGAATCGAATGACATATCATATGTCAACTTTTGACATTTTGGCATACCTATGGTTTATTTAAAATTGTAACATGCGGTTCATAACGACAATTTAACTCAAAATACCAAGTGTGTGGTACCAAATTATTCGTAAAAAATGCTTTTTCTAAATATGCTAATGAGCCACCCTCGTGCCATTTGAAAAAATTGAGATATAATTAAAAATACGATTTGGGCATCTTTTAACCAGCCAGGACAAGACACTAAAACATTAGACGATCATTTCTACTTTTCCAAGGCTCCTTGATTAAAAATTAGTGTTTTTAACACAGCCATGGAACTCTAGATTGAAATTTAAAATAGAATTACTTATTTTATATATGTATATTACCAATAATATTCTTTGATATTACATATTACTTTGATATTACAGGATATTACTAATAGAAATTTAAAATAGAATTTGTGTTAGGGTGCAGCCACACTATCCTAAAAACGGCGTATCGGCGTCTGATTGATCGGATTGATAGGATTACTAATCCAGACGTTCGAAAAGTGATCTCAAAACGAGTCAATGCGTTCGGAAAGTGATCCGAATAACTCGATTTTTGCCATATGTTGTGATCCTACTAACCCTCCTAATGAGGTGGGTAGAATTAATCAGCTGATCATTTCTAGGATAATTTTAAACGTAACGGTCCGCATAGAAGTATAAAGTTTTTAATAACCGTTTTGTCCGAAATCACTTTATCTAATGTTGATCAAATACATGATATTTTGTTAGTGACCGTAAAAATGAGCCAATCAGCATAGCATCAAGTAACTCTAGATTTTAAATAAATAAAAAACCAACAAGTAATTCTAAAGATACTGACTGCGAAAAAGCACTATCGGAGACACCCAATAGGAAAAAAATGAAAACTCAACTACAGAAAAGTGGTTTAAAACATTTAGATTAAAATAGCCAGGCATAATGAAAGAATGGAACTTGATAGACAATTCTGAAAATTTTCATCACAATTGGTAGATAAAAATTGATATATTTTTTTATTATTAATATGATGGAATGTTTATTATGTTGGCAGTAAATAAATGATTAAAATAAAGTTTATAGTGTTTTTGTTTTAAATGGCATAATTTTAAAAAAGCCTAAAATAAAACACATTTTGTTTTTATAAAAAATAGTCTTACAGAAACTAAAAAGTATACTTAAAGCAAAACAAATAGGATAAAAATAGATCTTATACAATCGTTAAAGAGGGATATTAGGATTATTTGTTTAATTTATCTCTTTTTAGGAAATATATTTAAATGTGATTGTTAACCCGGTAAATCTAATGATCCAACCGTTCGTAATTAAACTACCAGCTGATTACTCTCAGCACTGATCTTGGAACAGCTGATTAGTAAACTACCTAATCTAGGATTTTATTTCCGAAAACCCCTGCCGTTTTTAGGATAGTGTGGCTGCACCCTAATCATAGACAAAAGAAAATAATCTACTATTAAGATAGATATGAAACTTAATAGTAAAATTTTGGGTCAAAGCGCCCCTCCGTGTTTTTAGTGGAGACTACGTTTAACCCAGCGCCTTCGCCTTTTCTGTTGCAAATGTTTTTTATGTTTATATTTGAATTCAAAGGATTTATTTTTAAAGTTACACTGATATATTAGTATATCAGAGTAACTTTAATAAAACATAAGAATATATATATTTTACAATTTATTTTTCTATTTATTTTACAGAGTTTCATGTAAGTGATCGAGATTTATAGATTTTAAAGCGAACGAAAAAAAATCAAACAACGAATACATACCATATATTTTTCTTTTATCTAAGATACATACCTTATCGTCTTTTCGAAACACGTACATTTTTGCAGTTTTGTTAGTTTCTTTGAAAGATGCAACACAACAAGAAAACACCATTTTTACAGTTAATAAATAATAAAACTATTTCTGACTATGATATTTAAAATTTAGATAGATAGGAAATTAAAAAACAAACGAGTATTTGCAAACGCAGGCTCAACTTCAATAAAAATCAAAATTTTTCCTGCGAAAATCAGGCTTTTTTCACTGAAAAAGTATTTTTGGATTTATCAGCAGTCATTGTCAAGTTGACAATATACAGGGTGTTTTCGAATTAGTCTAAAAAAATTATGGTGTGATTCCTCATGTGTTCTTAAAACAATTTTTATATAACCATTGGGTCTAATAATAATTTTTTCTACAGTTTTTTTGCTTAACATAAATGGTACACCACTGCTTTTTTAAAGAAAAAATATTTTTTTCTTGACTGGCCATCCTTTCTCAACAAAATTGATCTTTTGAGTTTTTCTTGTTCATCAAACGGTTGTCGAGAAAAAAATAAATATACTTATTAAGAGCCCGCCTGAATTCGTTTTCTAACGATTTTTTATTTTTTTAGATTAATTAGGAAACACCCTGTATATGCATATCACAGGCAACCAAATAAACTAGTAACCTCTAAAAATTATTTTTCCTACCACTAGCGACATACCGTGTTTTTAGTGTGTACTAAATTATTTTATCAAAATTTCACCATATAAGTTTCAAGGCAATGACCCTAATCTCAGAAATATCTGTGGAAATATGAAATCTCATGTACGCGTCATTTATCTATGGTACGAATCAAATACGTTTAAATAAAATATACGTCGGCCTCCCCATAATGCCATAAGAGCAATGAGAGGATTTACGTCCCAGTGTTGAAGGACAGAAAATCGGGTCGAATTGTTTCAAGACATAAGTTCATCCTTGTTTAGTCAAACCTTCTACAACATAAGGATAGACTTATGTAGGAAATGCATTGAAATTCTATAGCCATCCTTCAATATCGGGACAGGAATTTAAGCGGTACCCTGCGTATATTTTATTTTAAACGTATTTGGTACGAATCAATGTGCGCGTTTCAGGGAACACAGCGGCTGACCGACCGCTGAGTATTTTGCTCAGCGACTGACTGTTTTTGCGTGTAAAAAGGGACCGTTTAGGGAAACCGCTTGCTCAGCCACTCAGCCGCTGACCGTCCCTTTTTTGTCAATGACTAATGGGCGCGTTCAGGGCTCTGGTTCAGGGACGGTTAGAGGCTGAGTGGCTGAGTAAAGGTTGATTCTCACTATACCTTCCATATCAGCTCCCTTCCGTTTCCCTTCCGTTTACATGAAATATTGAATCATGTAAATGAATAGGACAATTCACACTATCCGTTACGTTTCCCTTCCGTTCCAAATCCTGTCCTTTTTGAATCCACATTTTTTTGGCGGACGGACTGAAGCGTATCTGAAACAGCGTTGTTAAGGTCTTACATTTCTACCAGCTCTGTTAACGTTTTGCTGATGTTTATTTATTCTTTCACCTCTGAATCAAATCTATTATCATTTTCACAGGATACAAATTTTTAAAATAAACTTTCATAATGATATAAATTGTACAATAAAAAGTATGGAACTGATACGGAACGGAAGCTTACGTATAGCGTCAATACAATAAAAATACGGAAGAGATATGGAATGCATATGGAATGGAAACGGAAGGGAAGGTATAGTGAAAATCAACCTTAAAGCGGAAAGCGGTTCCCTAAACGGTTTCTTTTTACACACAAAAACAGTCAGCCGCTGAGTGAAAGTCTCAGCGATCACTCAGCCGCTGTGTTCCCTGAACGCGCACAATGGGCATTTTACACACAAAAATGGTCAGCCGTTGAGCAAAATACTCAGCGCACATTATGTTCACAGATCCGGATCGATTCTATATATCGATATTTACGTTACTTATCGTACATTCCTAGTAGAGCTGGCAACAATGGTGTTTAATTTTGACGTTTGCCGTTTTGTCGGAAAAGAGATTATTCTGTGGTCTGTGACAAAGTTTTTCGTTTGTTTTATTTTGCTTTTTTTAAATTTTATCAGAATTAAGTTATATTTACTATAATTAAAAGCAAGGCATTAATAATTTAAGTATAGTTGTGCTAATAATATTAAATATTATTAAGCCTTTCCAATTAAACCTCTTAATTTAGTGTGGCGTTTTATGGAGTGTACTAAATAAATTCAAATTACTGAAATGGAAGAAGCTGCAAGTTTAAATCATCATGGTCCTCCAATTAATATGTTGCCTCCTACGCCTCCAGGGCTTGAATCATTATATAATTTGTGTCGAAAAGTTTATCCTGACCAAGTAAATCCTTTGCAAGTTACAGCATTGTTAAAATATTGGTAAGATCAAAATATGTCTATGTGAAACAGTCACATCCAGCATCTTATAAAAACATCTATTTTTAGAACATCCGCCCTTTTATTTTTCACACCCTCAGTGTTCTGCATTTCCTGTTTTAGAAGTTATTTATAGTTTCACTGACTAATGACTTGAAGACTTCTTTACGATATCTTTGTTTACTATTTTTATAACAATGCTAATTATCAATTTATATTAATTATAGGCTTGGGGGTCCAGATCCACTAGATTATATTTCTATGTATGCAAACCCAGGAATACCAAGTGAAAATATTCCACCTCATTGGCATTATATAAGTTTTGGATTGTCCGACCTTCATGGTGATGGAAGGGTTCATGATTTATCAGGATCTGATGGTCCTTCGGGATTTGGTTTTGAGTTAACCTTTAGACTGAAACATGAGCCAGGTGAAACTACGCCACCAACATGGCCAGCAACATTGATGCAGTCTCTTGCTAAATATGTTTTTCATTCAGGTATGATATACATATTAGTTTGTTTTGAATCAAGATAGTTTCAATCTTTAAATGATTATTTTAGGGAATTCTCTTTGTTCTGGTGATCATGTTTCTTGGCACTGTGCTTTAGACAACAGTGAATCAAAAGTTCAACATATGCTGATGACAACCGATCTTCAGTTAAATTCTACACAGACTCCATTTGGTACAGTTAATTTTATACAGATTGTTGGTATTTGTACTGAAGAATTAAAGGCTGCTCAACAGTGGAATGGTGCAGGGATATTAGATATACTAAGGAGATTACCAATGTAAGTTTTAATTTCTTATTTTACAGAATCCAATTTTAATAAATTTTATATGAGGTATTGATATAGTATGGGTTTACATGGGGAGTAGTTGTTTGGACCACTTTATATGTATATGACATACCCAAATAAAGACTCTACCCAAACACTTGATTTGACTAGTGCTAGTGCCTTTCACACTTTGCTTTGACATAATATAAAATCACAGTTTTTTTAGTACGCGCCCTCTTTGAAATGAATGAAATAAGTCAGTAATATTGTAATTTTGGGCCACCTTGTATATCTTTATATGTATAGTAGGGAAATGTAACACGGAAAAATGCAAATTTTATATTTAAATCTCTTTATTTTTTTATACCATGGAGTTATCATGGTCCTCCTAAATTATTTCTTTTATTCATTTCCACCCTGCATATACTTATTTGTATCGGAATAAAAGTTTGGGAACATGTATTGGTTTTATTGGACATTTTAAAATTTTATTGTTAACTAATGGTTAACTGTAAACTTCATGGGTGTACCAAAGAAGTTATAAAACGTTTTTTGCTTTAGGCTCTAAGAGATGTCTCTTTCAGTAGGTATGGGAGAAGCCATCCTGTATACTGAATATAGGTCATACCAAATAAACTTTTAGTCTCATGGTTAAGCTTGACGAGTACAGTATTTCTGACTTATACATATTTTCTTTTATTTATATTTTAGGAAACAAAAATGAATTCATTATAAAAATATAAATAATTATTATTAATATCAAAGAAACTCCCCTTTCTAATAGCATTTAATGGAAATAAAGGGTCATTACTACTGCTTTCCTGTTCAAAATATTCTAACAAGGTTGCGATGAGCTTGCAATGGCTGTTTAGCTGCTTCGGATCTTGTGCACTTTACACCAAAAGCGGTTCTAAAAAGAACAATTTTTGACTGCAAGGTTGGCTAGTAAAATATTTTCAAAGAAGGATCACAACACAATTCACTTGAACCAAAAACTTGTAATACAAAACGAATCAAAATACCAATATAAGTAGATAATAATATAAATATATAAATGTGACAACTTGACATCTTTTACCTAAATCGTTGGCAGGAAACTTAAATTTGAGTTACTCAGCCCGGCGCCGAATATGTCCATGGCTGATGGAAACAATCAATTTAATAATCGCGCCCTTGATGACGAAACTAAAAGTTTATTTGCTATCGCTTATACCATAAAGTTTAATAATAATTAAAATTACTAAATCTTTTAGTGCTGGTGGATCTTGGCATATAACAGACATGCGTAGAGGGGAAAATATTTTTGAATTAGATCCTTACGCACAAGAAGAAGTAAATAGGGGTTTTGAAATAGAAGGTTCAAATTTAAGTGGCGTTTCTGGTAGATGCTCCTGGTCAGAACAAAATTATTTCAATGGAAAAGAATTTAAAGATGTCAGCTCACAATTGGACAACACATACCATCCAAGTTTGTTAGGTATTTTTTATTATTTCTTTCTAATGTAGTATACAAAATATTTCTTTCTGATTTTAGGGAGTTCATTGGAATCTCCAGAAATGTTACGCATAAGAAAACTTGATGGAGTTCACTTAATATTTAATTTAGAAGCTGGCAGTTTATTACCACTGGCCATAAGGTAATTTTTATGTCTGATAAAAAGATACACATATAACTTCTGACACAGAATACATGAGCTACAGATGCGAATTTTTAAATGTACTGAGAATTTTTTTTTCTTTATGGTGCAACTACACCAAACTGGTCAAGCCCCGCGGCCTGTGACCTCGGCCAAAGTCGGCGAGTCAGGTTGCTGGAATTATTAAAAAGTTGATGTACGGTTAGGTATACCGGGTGCGTCTCAAAAGTGGCCCAACCCTACAACTTTTTTATTTTTTCAGATAAAAAACGAGATTTGGTATGTTAGTATATGGCATAAATTAGGATTGATTGACGTATTCAATTGTTTTTGGTCACTTTCTGTTTCACCGGGAATGACTATAACTTTTGATTTTTAAATGCACCTTTGGTATATTTTCACTTTATTCAATAGAAAATAACACTCTGAATAGAATGACATATCATATGTCAACTTTTGACATTTTCGTATATGGTTTATTTGAAATTGTAACATGCTTTTCATAACGACAATTTGACTCCAAATACCAAGTGTGTGGCACCAAATTTTTCGTAAAAAATGCATTTTTCATTGTTCCATTTGAAAAACTTGAGATATGATTAAAAATACAATTTGGACATCTTTTAACAGGCCAGGACAAGATACGGAAAACTTTAGACTATCAAATCTATTTTTCCAAGGCTCCTTCATTAAAAATTATTGTTTTTAACACAGCCATGGCACTCTACATTGAAATTTAAAATACAATATTAAATTATAATTAATTCAAATACAAGCCAAAATGTCAAATGTTGATATATGATATGTCATTCTATTCAGAGTGTTATTTTCTATCAAATAAAGTAAAAATATATTGAGGGTGCCGTTTAAAAATCGTAGATTGTAGTCATTTCCGGTGAAACAAGAAATAACCAAAAACGATTGAATACGTCAGTCAATCCTCATTTATGTCATATACTAACATTCCAAATCTCATTTTTAACTGGAAAAAATAAAAAAGTTATAGGGGTGAGCCACTTTTGAGACGCACCCGGTATAAGGACGGTAGTAATGTAGTTCTGTGCTTCTAGGCCGTAAGCGACGATAAAAATAGGGTATTACCTCCGAATTCTTGACACCCGCACCGATTGACGTGAAATTTTAACAGTGAATAGAGATATATGTATGAAACAAAAATTACATAGTAGCGATGTGTGCTTTCACCCTGGGGGTGAGTGCCACCACTTCTCGGTAGTGAAAAATAAATCACCTATTTTAATTACAAACATCAATAAAGGGATGAATTCGAAGCAAAAGATATTCTATAACATTTTTTCAGAAAATTAATATTTTCCTAGTTATTTAGGATTGAAAATGTAATAAATAACTCGAAAATCTTGCGTTTTATTGCAAAACTCATAAAAAGTAAAAATGCAGCTTTTGGAATAACAAATCGATTTAATTTTTGTTGATTGCCGTAGGTGTAATAATAGCCGAGTTATCACTCTGTATACGTGATTTTTTATTTTTCGAAAACTAAATTACAACTTTTATTGTAAAATCATGGCGAAAGAACACATTTTTCGAAGAAAATGAATATGACCGTTTTTAAAGCGTGTGAAAAGACATTTTAAATGTCTTTTTTAAGGGTCTTTTCAGGTTTGTAACTCAAAAACTCGCGGAGTTATGGTAAAAATAAAATGGTCACCTCATTTTTTCGGAAAAAAATTAACAACAAAATCTATGACTAAAATCATAAATCTATCAATTTGTAGGAATAAAAACTATCAATTTGTAGGAAATTACACGAGCTACAAATTAACCTCTATAGTTGAACAGTCTTGAACTCTTCATTTTCACGAGATTTTTGGGTTTTAAGGGCTCAAAGAAGGTGGTCTTTACACGCAAGTCAAACTAAAAAAACGTAATATCTACGAAACAAAGAGATCTACAAAAAAATTGAAAGAGAGCAAAAATATTGCAAAAAATGGCCTCCAATTTTACCCTGTTGCATTTTTTACGTATCTTGTTTAGTTTTTGAGATACATGTCAAAAAAATTTAAAAAATAAAAATTTTTCATTATTTTTAACTTTTTTCCAAATTTAGGCATTCTAAACCGCTCGAACTTGCAGAGCCCATTGTTAGTACCTAAATATAGCCAACTGTACATGTATTACGCTTAGTTTTTATTTTTATAATTTTAGTCATAGATTTTGTTGTTAATTTTTTTTCTGAAATAATGAGGTCACCATTTTATTTTTATCATAACTCCGCGAGTTTTTGAGCTACGAACTTTTTTAAGAAAACATTTAAAAGGTCTTTTCAAGCACTTTAAAAATGGTCATTACTCATTTTCTTCGAAAAATGTGTTCTTTCGCCATTATTTTACGATAAAATGTTGCAATTTAGTTTTCGAAAAATAAAAAATCAGTTTACAGAGTGATAATTCAACTATTATTACACCTATGGTAATCAACAAGAAAGGGATCATTTAGTTATTCCAAAAGCTTTATTTTTGCTCTATATAAGTTTTGCGATAAAACACAAGGTTTTCGAGTTATTTATAAAAAATAGCAGAAAAATATGCAATTTTTAGATGAAAAATCAACATTTTCAATCCTAAATAACTAGGGAAATATTAATTTTCTGAAAAAATGTTATAGAACATTTTTTGCTTAGAATTCATCCCTTTATTGATTTTTGCTATTAAAATGGGTGATTTATTTTTCACCCTCGAGAAAGGGTGGCACTCACCCCTAGGGTGACAATACACATCACTACTTTGTAACTTTTGTTTCTTACATATATCTTTATTCACTGTTAAAATTTCACGTCAATCGGTGCAGGTGTTCAGAATTCGGACCCTAAAACCCTCGCTTACTGGCCTATTCTGAAGTATTGCGAATTAACCTTAAAGGGAGTTAAATATAAATGAAATATTGATAATGTACATAATTTTAGGGGCAGAGTGAAGCACGGCAGACACTTTACATTTAAATCAATACTGGGAGACACAGCTGTAACATTAGTTGCTAATTCTGTTACAGAAACATTAGTTAATATAGACCATCCATACGTTGCTCAAGGTTCATGGTTGCAAGTTTTAATTCCGGATGATTTGGAACAAGATATGGCTGTTACGTTTCAGGCGCTGGCAAGTCCCGAAGCTTTATCTTTACCTAAAACATTTTCGTGGCCAGATAGAAAGCTCTCCATTACTATTGTCGCAGATAAAGTTTGAAAACATACTTTTTTGGACGAATTGTATGAAAATGACTGCATTAATTATTACGGGTAAAATAATATCTAGTGACAAGATTTATCACATAAATTCTGCCAGTTTATCAGTAAAAACATTACAGAGGGCCAAGTGACTTGATTTAAATTTGTCTCAATATTATGGATTGCTTGAAAGTTTGTGAATCTCTATGAGTAATTTAAGTGCCTTATTAAAAGATTTTTATTAAGTTAAGGTATAAGAATTTAAATATTCTTAATAACGGTGCTTATGAGTAAAATTAATTATTTATTCATTAATATTAGATATTAGGTTGTGATACTACTTTACTCTCGTAGTCTTAAATATTTTATTCTACATATTTTAAACTTGACTGTCAAGTTTGTATCTTATTCATAATTTGCTTTTTATTATTAAATTTTATCAATTTATTTCAACAATTTTTACATTTAAGTTGATTTGATTTTAGACTAGTTTTATAACACTGACACTTTTTATATAATTATACCGTGTTGGCAACTGTTACTTTTGGGTCGGCATTTACATGTGTGAAAGTAAATCGCATCTTATGTCGGAGTGAGAGAAATGCGACGGTGTGCTGTTGCGGCGTTGCCGGTACACCTTTCCCTATCAAGTAAAGTAAAATCACGATCGCAAACCGCTTATTTTTAAAAGACTTTGTAGATAACTAGATAAAATCATTAGACATGTTTCTGAGTGTCTGAAATGGAATTATAAGAATATCGTTAGGGTGTCATTTTTTTATAACGAGAAAACGTCAGTAATCGTGATAATTTAAAAGTCAACTTTTTAACACATAACAGGCCATAACTCAAGAACCACTTTAGATATTGAAAGTTTTTTTTTTATTTTCAAGATCGGATATTTTACAATTTGTTTACATAAGAAAAATTCGATAAGGTTGTTTTTTCCATTCAAAAATTGTAAACAATCCATCCATTTACTTTTAGAGCATAACAATTTTCAGCAATCGTGTAATTTTTTTATTGATAAAGATTTTCACATACTGTCTACAAAGAAAATAAAGCAGAAATATTAACAAAGTTCTTGAAAAAACTACAATCTATTAGATTTCGGGATATCGATTTTTCAATTCAGAGTTCTAATAGCGCGACCACTATCGAACACCCACTCAATTCTACTTATTTTTACCAAAAATGCAAGTGTTTCTAGCTTGCACTTAAAAAAATTTAAGCTATAGGGAAAATTAAAACGACTCGTTAATAAATAAACAAATTAAGTATCACGAGACGTAATTAAATCGTGAAGCTGAACGCATGACGTACGCCTTTCCCTAGAACTTTAAGTACTGACAGAGGTATTGATTGGGTCGACCGGTCAACTGCGACAAATCTGCTTATCCCCTTCCACGTCTCTTAGCGATGTGCACAGTTTCTCGGTATTTCATACGTTTGGCAACGTTTTTACTGTCCTCTCTTTGTTCAGTACATTATAAACGCATTGTACTCTTCTTACATATGGAAATCTCGACCCAAGACTAACCTTTGCCAGCCCTTATATATAACCATCCAGTATTTGAAATTAGGACGTGACTGTAACATTATTTATTTATTTTATTTCTTATGTACTAAATTTATAAAAGTTTGGATTGTATAAGCTGGAACTTTATTACAAAGTTTATAATAGTTTTTATATGAGAAAATTCATTTATCAGAATTTTATCTGTCCAGTATAGTTAAATAGTTATATTTATTTTATATCTTTTTTATTTTTAATAAAATATAAGATTTTTATGGATTACTTTTTTATAACAATAATCAAAAGACTACTTTTAACACTGGACAAGCGTAAGTGGAAAAATAAACAAAGAATTATATACAAAATTATTTATTTTTAATATAATTTATAAACGGATTCAAAAGACTATACAGAGCTTTGAATTTCTATCTAAAATCTTAATTTCTACTCCTTAGTTTGAGTGATAATGTTTATATTTGACTTTTTTAATTTTTTTTATATCATATTTAAACAATATCACTTACTAAATACTTTTGGACTAAAAGTAAATTTACTGATGCATATAAAAAAGAATCAGTACTTTGAAATAATTCAATAATCAATCTTTGGTGATTTTGTATAAAATAATTTTATTTACATCTTTGAAAAACAGTCTATTTATCCTTTTAACAATAATATACAAATTAAGCATAGTCACAATATACAAAAAGCAATTTCACACACACAGGAAATATTTTTTTGTCAATACTCAAAGTAGCTAAAAGCAATTCAAACAATATTTTTAACAGAACAATAAATATAACATTAGGAAAGCTACATATGTATTAACATAGAGAGACTAGTTAAACTAGAGTGAATTGAGAAGGAACAACTGCTGCTTAATCTGATTTATAATAACCACCTGGTTATTTTAATAACTGATAACAAGTTGTACGTTATTTAATTAGGAAGTAACAGATTTTAAGTTGTTTTTAGATTTTTAGGTATTCTTATTATTGGACATACTAAGATCATTTCCGAAATTTTGGATTTAGGAAGAAAACAATATACAGGGTAGTCCGAACTGTATTCCGTAAACTTCGGCAGTATATTCTGCACATTAAAATAAGTAACAAAGTTCGCATAAATGTATGTCCTAAAATGCTTAGTTTCGGAGATACAGGGTGTAGAAGTTACACTTTTATTTCGATTAGGAAATTTACTCCATATAATTTCTGAAATAACGTTCATATTTGGATGAAAATTGGTGTCTGGGAGTTTTTTGACATGAGAAATTTGATTTTGATGTTAACATATGACTCGTAGTTGGAGAGGGCGCCACCTATATATTTTTTAACTGGTTTAAAGGGTAATAACTATTCGTCCGTACTTGTATAAAACAACTGAGTAAAATAATATACATTTACGACGTTTTTTACGTAGAAAAGGTCTCTTGGTAAAAATAGGTAAAAATCGTTCCGAGTAATGGTTCTCGAGATATTTTGAATCGAAATTATCAATTCCTGTCATCACTGACATAAATTAAACATGTTGACTAAATAGTTATTAGACTGAAATCATAAATTTGAAATGTTTTTGTGTCAAAAGTTCAACAGAAACTGTTTTATCATCATTTTTTCGCAGAAAATTTTTATTCAAAAAATGAAAATTTCTCAAATTTATTTTTTCAGTCAAACAACTATCTATTCAACGTGTTTGTTTTTTGTCAATAATGGCATGTATTGACTATTTCCATTCTAAATATTTTAAGAACGGTTGCTCTTTGCGATTTTTACCAAAAGACATTTTTTACGTAAAGTTACGGAGATGTATATTTTTTCACTCAATAGTTTTAGACAGGTACTGACGAAAAGTTATTACTTTTCAAAACAGTTAAAACACATGTAGGTGGCACCCCCTACAAATGGGAGTCATATTGACATCAAAATCAAATTTCTCATGTCAAAAAACTCACAGATACCAATTTTCATGCTAATATTGACGTTACTTAAGAAATTATTTGGAAAATGTCGAAATAAAAATGCAACTTCTACACCCTGTATCTCCGAAATTAAGGATTTTAGGACATATTCATACGAACTTTTCTAATTATTTTTATCTGCAGAATATGCTGCCGAAGTTTCCATAATACAGTTCGGTCTACCCTGTATATACCTACTGACAAATAAAAGGATTAATAAAAATGTTAGAATTAATTTTATAAACATATTTTGACATAAACACGTACGTTAAGTTGATGTCGTTGTCATCTGCATTTAATTTAATGCCATATTAGCAAACAGTAATTAAATTATTAAGTATAATACTAGCTCATTATTCCTATTTTATTATCATTACAAAATTTAAAACAAAACTATAGGATAATTAAGAACATTAAGAGAATATAAATATTATATGTTTGTGAATTTTAAATGATAACTTTTTTGAAAAATGCGATAATTATTTGTATAAAAATATGAGTGATAATATTTAATTAGTGAAATAAATAATAAATAATATTTTAGCACCCAGTATAAAAATTTAGATCTATATAGATATATTTAGTTTGATTTTGTAATACGTAAACATTTTCATATAATTGGTATGCAATTTTCGCTTATCGTATGATATTTCAATAAAATTACAATTTTAAAATATTGTAAAATCTAAAAATATAATGTTATTATAATATGATTGAAAAAAAAACGTAAGTGGGAAATTATATGGGGAATGTCATAGATCGTTATTTCCAAGCCAACTGGATGCCTTTTTTTCGATTATACGGTATATGAATTAATATTCATTCACAGTAATGGTTTTAAATTTCTTGTTAGACTGCTTCATAAAAAAAGTTTAACTTTTAATACAATTAAACAACAGTATTTATTTAATAGACTTATAAGTCTGAAGGCATGTACAAATTATAGGTTTAGTCCGTATAGCGAAAGAATATCTGACATATAGTGACAGTTGTTGGCTGTCATTGTAATTCAAAAGTATTTTTTAATTTTTGTCTCTTGTAATTTCTGTCTCTCGAAATTGTATATTTTCTTGCGGGTCAGAGTATAGATTAAAAATATTTTATTACATAAATTTCAAAATCATACGAATAAAGTATCATATGATTTGTACTAAAAAAGGGCGCTGAGTTGATTTTGAAATGACGATTAGACATTTCCTATATAATTTTACATATGAACTGACAGCGATCTTCGTTTCCAAGCCATCACTGACGTGTTTTTTTTTCATTCATATGGTATTTTGTATACATATTAAGCACGAATAGTAAGAATTGTAGACACATAATTGTATTTTAATTCAAATCTTAGTATTACGTGATAATTTTATTTGCAGAAAATATTTTCAATTGAAGTAGTTAAATATGTAAATATAGATCTCAAATGAAAACATTCGAATTTTCATCACTTTTCAAAATACTAGCCTAGTTTGATCTAGGTCTCATTGAGAGAACAAAATTAGATTCTCTCATGGGAATAAAAATGCTAAATTTTATTTACAAATGAATTGTTAGCACATTTCCCGTTAATTATGATTTTATTTTGATGTAATAATACTGATTTAAAAAATTTTAATATAAAAAAGCTAAAATACAGTTAGGAAAAAACACATAGCTGTTTGATTATTTTGCTTGTAATAACTAATCAATACATTGTGAAAATAAGAATATTAAGGTTTAAATAAATAGCATTAATAATTGTCCAATACCTCCTCTGCTGTAAATTAAATTTGTATGGGCCAAATTATGAGTAAAGCTTCATTCAGAACCTCGCAATTAGTGGAATAAATTAGTGGTTTCAATTACACTTTATACTTTTGGTTTACGATCATTGTCAATGTTTAAAAAACACAATTAAAATTAATAGAATACACTAGCAATAGCTTGCGTTAGTCAGTTGTATCCATAGAGAAAGCCTAATATTTAACTTATAAAACAATCAACTTTTGATTTCTAACCACAATTGCTTTTGACGGAAGATAATCAAAGGCCAAAATGACATTCCAAATTTTGAAGTATAATTAGTGGAAAAGTTAAAAGTTTGATAACTTTTTCTATTAATTGAAAATGTCTACCACTAATTTTGACGTTCTGAATGCATACATTGAAATTAAAGGAACACACTTCTATGCTAATTGAAACCACTAATTTATTCCACTAATTGGGAGGTTCTGAATGAAGATAGCCAAATTAAATGATTATTTTTCGTATCTTTTATCTCAACGTAAAATTTCTTTAGTTAATATCGAACTGCTTAAATACTACTATATGAAACAAAGTTATGTATAGCGTTGATTGAAAGAATTGGGTAGATACGCAACCTAATGGGCTAATTAGTGACTATTAGGCTGATTTGATTTCCCCTTACGTCTCAAGTTTTGTACTGTGGAGCCTCTATTCGTTCTGCGTCTAACGCATAAAACAATAATTTTCTCTAATTCAGCTAGCGAATGCATGTCGAAGACTGTGTGGAACTGAAAAAGATAGTGTTGCCATATTAAAATGTGTAATATCTGTAATGCGTTGGACGAAAATATATTTGGATGAAAAATACGCGTTTATGTATTGAAAATTTATTCGTGTTAAACATAGAATAAACAATAAATATAAAATTCTTTTATACGTACCTACTGAATATTTCGTATTATCGAAAAAAATCGTTTAGTTGGCTTGGAAATGACGATTATTGACATTTAGCATAATATTTTACAGATGGAATAACAGCGATCTTCATTTTCAAGCTAACTCTGACGCCGTTCTTTGTTTAATTATATAATATTACTAGCGTGTACCAGCGACTTCTTTCGCGTCGAATTAATCATTTCTAATGGTGATGATAAAGCAAAGCAAGAATTTCCATTAATATATAAACTGGATAAAATTTTCTCACATTTATGTCGGCATCAGAAAAAACAATATGGCGATATTATTATATAACTTGGTAACAAGCTTGGTAATATTTGGGGGGTAGTTTCATCTCGTTGGAATTTGACTTTCGAAAAATCTGTTTGCCAAAAATAAGCTTTTTGCGTCAAGCAGTTTTATCAGAATCGTGGTTAAGAAATTACCCAACTTTTTGGAACACCCTGTATGATTTTTTAAAAAATTTCAAAATATGTAAAAAACCAAATAAATTACCCCTGCCCAAGCGTTTTCCCGAAAGACTAACCGTTTTTTAAATAACAAATATTGTAATATTTGAGGGGCGTTTTCACCCCCTTGGAATTTGTGATTCGAGAAACCCCTCCTTATCGAACCTTTACACCCCACAGTCAATCCGTTTGCCAAAAATCAGCTTTAAACGTCAAGCAGTTTAAGCAGAATCGTGATTACTGAATGGTCATATTTTATGAAACACCCTGTATAAATTTATAAAAAATCTTAAAATATGTAATGTGTATGTGTTTAAGAGTTTTTCCGAAAAACTCACCGGTTGTTAAATAAAAAATATTTTAATATTTGAGGGATAGTTTCACCCCCTTAGAATTCGAGTTTCGAAAAATCCCTTCTTATCGAACCTCTACACCCTAACGTCAATCTGTTTTCCAAAAATCAGCTTTTTTTAAGCAGGATCGTGATCAACCAATGACCAGATTTTTCGAAACACCCTGTATACATTTTTAAAAAATCTTAAAATATGTAAAAAACAAAATAAAATATACGTGTTTAAGCGTATATTTTCGTATAAGCGTATTTTTTCGGAAACTTGACCGTTTTTTAAATAAAAAATATTGTAATATGCGAGGGGTGGTTTCACCCTCTTGGAACTGGAATTTCGAAAAATCCCTTCTTATCGAACCTCTACACCCTAGAATCAACCTGTATGCCAAAATTGAGCTTCTTACGTTGAGTGGTTTGAGCAGGATCGTGATTAATCAGTATGTCAGTCACTTAAGTAGTATTATAGATATATATATCGACTGCGTCACGACAAAAGGGCGTAAGCGCCAAAATAACGAAAATGAGATTATGGTCCCAAAATGTAATACTAATAAATGCGCATCTAACTATGAAACGGCATAACAGGCAAACATTTTTAACGTGAAAAAAAAAAGACAGTTTTAGTTTCTAACCGCCAATACCCCTCCAAACCAGACTCGACGCGAAAATCAGTAACCGCCATTTACACGTGTTGGAAGGTCGCTTACGCCTGGGATGAAAAAATACCATTTTCCATTCAAAGGTACGTAGAAAAATTTATTAATAAGATAGGTCTTATTCATATTTGGTAGCATAGATTGTTATTTTGTGCTTCAATCTAATTCAAATAGTAAACACCGACATTTATTTGTTATTGTCGGTTAAGCCTTTTCGTATTAATTTATTTGGTTTGCCTAAGCGCCATCCGCCTATGTGATCGTAATGGCATATTTTTTGCTTTTAACAAAAGTATCGTTCAGCAGATTTCAAAAAATTGTCAAATATCTATAATTGTCACTGTTAGAAGCACCACCTTTTGCCACCAACGAGGAATACGGATCAAGTTTACCAGTGTTTTGCTCAGAATATTAGTTAAATTTAATTTTCCAGTTATTATTTCAAGCCTAATGAGTTTGAAAATATTGAAAGTATCAGTTTGAGTATTTTGTACTACGTTTCTATTAAAAAAATTAAAAAATCCAAGCGACATTTTTAATTTTATTTGTAAAACTCAAAAGGCGTAAGTGCACCTAAACGACAAAAAATGACTAGAATAATAAGACACAAAAGTCTTAAACGCCTTTCAAAAAGACGTAAACGCCAATCCAGCCTAGAAAGAAAGGCTTAAGCGCCAAATATTAAAATAACTAATTAACAGTTTAATATTTTATTAGCCAAAAATTCTTGAAAAATGTGCCATATAATCTATAATACTGTAGCAAAAAATAATTCACAAAAAAATAAAAAATATAGATTTTAGACGTTTTTTTCGTCTTCTGAAAAAAATGACGAATGGCGCTTACGCCCTTTTGTCGTGACGCCGTCGATATATATTAACTTGTTTAATGATAGAAAATCCGTATTATTAATGTACTGTACCCAAAATCCGTAAATCTACCGATTAATCCGTATTTCTGCCAACACTGTCTCCAGCAACCACCCACTCTGTCGACTGAAAGCAGAACTACGGTCTACGGTACAGTATTCTTTATCCGCTGTGCTGTAAACCACTATCGGCGCGCAGCAGCGCAGAGCTAAACTAAATCTTGGACAGGTTTTGAGTCACGAAATCGCCCATAAGGTTGCGCATCTTCTTATTTCTTTAATCAACGCTTATAGCGATATTATTGTTTTTAAACATCTTTTGAAATTGATCCTGTACTATTTAAAATGTACACACAACAATCACCCTGCTTTATAAAAGTCCCTATTAACAATTTAACATCACTATCCATAGTACTGCGATTGTCCCGTAATAAAATCTCGAAGTACTAGAAGTCCTAGTACTTCCTTTATTTTGAACTATAAATCTGCCTTTAGGAGATGTAAACCACTGGTGCAAATCGCTCAGTTCGCCGTAGCCGTGTTGGTTTTTGGTCTGTATGAGACATTCGTATGCCGAATCCGGTTGCAGGTTATGCAACCGATACCACTGGGTCCTCTCGCTGGTTGAAGGATTGTAGGTTTGGCTGGGTTTCACTAGAAGATCGTGCCACTGTCGGGGATGATGATAAGATGTATTAACCTAAATCAAAATGGTTTCAATAAATACAAATAGTAAAAAAAAATAACTTAACATAGAATTTGACTACAAGCACGATGTAGTGTCGCATTTTGGATGCAAATGAGGGTTATCTCGCATATTTATTGTAGTTTGTGATCTATTTGCAATTTCTGATGGTAAAAATAAGACACAATAAGTCACAGCTCACTATGATGATATGTCTATTATGGAAATGATCTTTTTGCAAACGTATTGTTTTATCATAACTACATTATTTATGATGCACATTTTCTTATAAAAAAATTATAAAAAATGAGCACACCCTAAACTGGCACTTTATATTTAAAAATTCGAATTTGAACGAAATTTCACTAAGCATAAAATTAAATAGAGAATCTGTTTAATGGCTACCATTAATGCAGTTCGAACAATTCAATACGATCGAAAAAAAACGGCGCCACACAGTGCGGCGGATGGTAATTCTAGCGGGACAAAATCTCAGAAGCTATGTTTGCGACTTAAAATAAAATCTAAGAAGGTAGCAAATGGTCTAATGTACAGAGTGGCGCTTCTCATACGACGCGGAGGCTCCAGGCTCCAGGGAGAACGACAGTTTGTTTGAAGTGAAATTTTGTGAGCATATATATAGGTTAATTGAGAGCACTTTTTAAAAATATACAGTTCTACAGGGCGTCCCCAAAAAAAGTTACATACAAAAGTTTGTGTTTTTGTAATAGATATATGTTAATTGATTTGCAGATTCTGGGAGAAAAATAAAGGTGAATTTTATTAGGGAAGTATATGACTAAAATGCAAGGTAAATATGACTAAAATGCAAGGTAAATATTTAACATTTTCTAAAAATAAAGAACAAGTTTTAAATTACAATAAAAGCTACCTGAATTGGAATTTACCCGGTATAACCTAACATGTAGTTAAAATAACTATTGTACTTTAAATCAAATTAAAAATTGGCCAAAAAAGTTATACAGGGTGAGACAAAATTAATATTGAACATTGGTCGTCTCTAAAAGCAAGTTACTCTTTTATTTTAAATGGAACACCCAGTATATTATCCAATATTCAATGGGGAATTCATGTCTCTTCAAAATACTATTAAGATTGTCTATCCGTCAAACAAATATTTTCATTTTTATGGTTTAGTGTCAGTGGATCTTTATTATTTGACAAAATCTAAGTGGCTGTGATATGTCTGAGGTTACTTCAACATAGATGTCTAATCAGTCTAACTTTAAGAACTAGTTATCATTTTGTGTCAGTTAAAAGAAATGAAATTTCAGAAATTTGCCGAAAATGCAATCTTATCCTATATCAGAGAGAATTCATATGATTTTATTAGTTGGTGAATGCAGTGTGCATTCATCAATTAATAGAATACTTAACTGCTCCTGATTTTATCTAGTCTGTTTTTTATGGGGATATCTTAAAGACAGTGTTTACAAAACTGGACCAACTATTGTCGACAACATGAGATAAATAATTGTAGCTGCTTTTCGAAGTAGAATTCCACATATGCCTATTAAATTAAAAAAAAACCTTTGAAAAGAGAATCATTTTATGCAGTGAACAGGAAAGGAAGTATTTTAGCATTTGATTTCATCTATCTAATTTTCGTCACATAAATATAGGTTTATATCTAGTTTTAATTCCGTCATAATTAAAATATGTTTTAAACGTGTATCTTTTTATTACCGTTGAGTAATTTACTCTACATTCTTTAATTTTTGTTAAAGTAACAAAAGGTATATCACAGCCACCTAGATTTTTTCAAATAATAAAAATCTACTAACGCAAAATCATATAAATTAAAATATCTTGGAGAATCTTTGTCTGAGGGGTAGGCAACCTTAATAATTGAAGATATATAAATTCCCCATTTGAATTTGAAGATATATAAATTACCCATTAACACCGGAAAAATATACTGGGTGTTCCATTTAAAATAAAGCAGTAACTTACTTTTAAAAGTGACTAATGTTCCATATTAATTTTGTCTCACCTTGTATGTAACTTTTCGGGCCAAATTTCAATTTGGTTTAACATACAATGGTTACGGTAATTAAATATCAGGCTATACAAAGTCAACTAAAATTTCAATCACAATCAAATTGTATTATACTACTTTTTACCCATCCCTTCAAGTTTTCGTAGAAAATGCATTTTCTTGTAATTTAGACCTCATTTATCAATATACCCGTGGAATATTGATATTTTAGATTGTTTTTAAAGTAACAAATGTACAAAATGAACAGGCTAGTAATATTATCGTTTTTAGCAAAATGATAATATTACTAGCCCATTTCTATGCAAAAAGAAAACTATTTAAATCTTTATAAAAGAGTATACCATTCATTAAATATACCACCATTATTTCCGCCCAAATACTAATTAATTACATACTTAATTATGTTCGTTAATAAATTATTCTAAATAAATGTGGATTTGAATCAGAAATCAATACAATAATAACATATGACAATGAATGTCTCTGTTGGTATAAATAAGCATTTGTCAAAAAATGAAATATAATTTTCAAGGTGTTACTTTTTACCACACTGCCTAATACAATACAAAATTCAGTTTTTTAGTATTTGGAGCAATTATTATTAATCAACGCAAATAGTCAATTAATGTAGTTTGAATACTGGAATCATATTAATTGGCCCTCTTTAACAAATATTTAAACAGTTTTTTTTTATTTTTTAATGAAATAAACAAACTATATCGACAATATTAGTATCTGTACTCTTTAAAAAGTTGGTACATCTTTAAAAATAATCTAAAATGTCAGTATTCCATGATAAATGAGTTCTAAATTACAAAACAATGCATTTTCTACGGAAACTTGAAGAGAGGTAAAAAATGGTATAATACAATTTGATAGACAATTAAATTGTGCATCTGATTCTCATAAAATATACAGGGTATTCCATTTAAATTAAACAAGTTATTGCCGTTTAAAGCTAGTAATTATTTAAAATAAAATTTTAGACACTTTGTATAAGATAGTATAATTTTTATTATTGCAACACAATAACTGATAAATAAATAAACTTCAGTAAATATTTAGTATTAAAAACTTCGATACCCTTGGAGAAATGAAGCCTTAAAATTTTGACTGCAATTTCACAAAATTGAAAATATTTCAAAAACGGTAAGGTTTAAGTGAATAAACCTCTATTAAATTTACCTTTATTTTAATCGTAGAAACTAAAAATGTAATAATATATAGGGAGTTCCATTTAAAAAAATACAACTTTGATATTTTTTATTTATTTGGGATACTTTGTATCTTGTAAAAATATTTTTAAATTGTAGCTCTAATAGTCCTTCAACGAACCCAAAACTTACAATTTGTAAAAATCTAATCGTTTAGCTACAATACTCCGTGTCGTAGGTGGTGAACAACCCTGTATATTTTTATAAAATGCTTTCAATTAACCTACCGTTCTCCTTGGAGCCTCCGTGTCGTAAGAGAGGCCACCCTATACAGATAAATTTCATTTTTTTTAGTTTCAAAATTTAGATATTGTGGGGTAAATAGGTAAATTCTAATTATTTATTACATTTGAGGGTTGGAACCTTACGTGTTATAACAGCAAAATAAAAAATTAATTCGTTCTTTTAAAACTCGGATGTCGCTAACCATGTTAGCATCACCAGCAGACAGCAGATGATTAAAACAGTTTTAATCATCTGCTGATGGTTCTAACATGGTTAGCAGAATGCGGGTCCAGTGTTGAAAGTAAACAGTTTTGGTGTATTGTGGCGAATTACTGTTTTATTTGGTCTTCCAGTTTTCAAGTCGCCTGGATTATTAAACGAACAGAACTTTTTTATTGAATAAACTAGAGATAACAATGTATAATTTACTTACCATCACTCTTCTGTAGAGAATTCTAACTTCTACAATGGGAAAGACAGATTGAACAACCCATTTTAGGTTGTATTCCGTAGGATTTGAATGTTGTGAACTTATAATTTTTGCAGGTCCAGGCTTTCCCGATAACTCAATGTATCTATATAAATAAAAAAAAATAATTAGTTTGATCTAAAACACAACTGAAACTCACTTTCAAGTAACCTCGCACATTTTAACATATATAAAATTTATCAATGTTTAGTGTAGAATATTTAAAAAAAACTGGCTTTTGAAGAAAAAAGAAATTCGCTGAGAAAAAAAAACTTTATACAGGTTGTTAATTTGTTTATTACTCGCGACAAGAGCTTTATGGTTGAAATATGGCAACCTCGTTCCGCTCGTCGATAGACGACGCGCGACGCGACTGGACGAGTCGGCAGAAAACCCTATAAGTGCATGCGTTCTCAATAGGCAGTGTTGCCATTCTGTTCCCCTATAAGTAATTGTCGAGTTAACAACCTGTATATATTATTACAGTTGAGGTTATATATTATTACAGGTTGATGTATCTTTGTTGTTCCCAAGTGTTCCAATTCCACATAGTTTAGGCTACTTGAAGGAATTACTGAACGCAAATGGTCTCGACAACAAAACTGTAATTGAATATATTCAGCTTACATCGTTATGTATGAAACAAAATTGTTTTCAATTTAATAACAACTTTTTTGAACAGCGGGAAGGTACAGCAATGGGTAATCCATTGTCTCCATTTTTGGCTAATTTCTAAGTTAAATAATCATTTTCCTTCCATTAAATTTACGCATGAAATTGAGAACAACGACAGATTACCATTTCTAGATGTATTAGTTATTAGAAATACTAATAACTGCTTGGAATTTGATATCTATAGGAAAAATACCACCACACGCAGATATATTCCTAATGAATCACATCATAGTGTTGAACATAAAATGGCTAGTTTAAATTTCTTAGTTCATAGATTACTTAGTTTCCCACTTTCCAACGAAATATATGAAATAGAAAGAGATTACATTAGGAATGTAGCTGAGTGTAATGGATATTCTCCTCCACTAGTTGATAAATTAATTAGAAAACGTAGGTACCTATAGGTTAATGATTTCTGAAAATTCGACTTTTCAAGTGGAGAAAGATACGTCTAAATATTTTTCAATACCGTTTGATAGAGAGTTATCCTGTGGTCTAAAAGGAATTTTTAAGAATGTCAATTATAAACTTGTGTATAGTGCTAATAATAAATTACAACAATTATTAGGTAATCCAAAGGATAAAACACCTCCACTGGAAAGGTCGGGTATTTATGAAATTTCTTGTAATGATTGTCATCAGAAATATGTTGGGCAAACTAGAAGATCAATATTAACTAGATTTAAAGAACATTTAGCTCAGATAAGATATGGTAGACCGGATAAATTTTGCGTTGCCGAACATATTGTTGATAAAGAACATTGTATAGATCTTAATAATTTAAAATTAATTAAACAAGTCTCAAATTACAGGCAATTAGATGCATATGAAAGCATCAGAATTAATAAATGTAAAGATAGTATGAACAGAGACAACGGTCCAATTCCTTCAAGTTCTTTGTTCCTACTACTCTAGTGGCGGAAATCTAACTGTTACGCTCAGTGGGCTCTGTCTCGGTTGGCTAGATTTTGCCACGCCTACTCGGTGCCCACTGAGCGAGTATATAAACGCTCAACTTGTAGATGTACTTTAGTTTATAATCATCTGCTGACGATGCTAAGTTGGTTAGCGAAACGCCCGTCCAGTGTAAAATAAAAGTGTTTTGGTGTATTGTGGTGATTTAGTGTTTTATTTTAACCTGTATATACTTTAAGTATTTCATGAATGTTTATTTTTTAGAAATCTGTATGTCAGCAAACAGTAAGAACTAGTTTATCCAAACATTAAAAATATTAACTGTCTTTTAGTATACTGGTTTAGTTTTGAAAAATACCTAAAAAAGTTGTTTAGTATAAGAGGTCCACATTATTAAAATCCACCCGTGGTCACACCTACCTACTAAATATGTGTTGTTCAAGTTATGAAATTCGTAGATTATAATAATTTAAGACATGTTTGCCTTATAACACAAAAAATAACATTATATTAAGTTTGAACACCTAAAAAATAAAAATGTGAAAACAAATTTGTCTAGTATCAAATATATATAGGGTAGGTATTCTTTTGAAAAATTGAAACTGTTATCTGATATCAAAATTTGATAGTTCCGATGGTTTTGTGTAATTTCAAAAATGAGAATGTGGCTATTCAGACAAAATCTAAACCCTTCAAATTTAAACTTTTTCTACAACTAATATTTTCGGAGAAAGCTATTGTCATTATATTGAAATTTAAAATACAATTAAAAGGAAATGTCAAAAGTTGACATGTGATATGTCATTTTATTCAGAATATCATTTACTATCAAATAAAGTAAAAAAATACCGAGGGTACCCTTTAAAATTCAAAAGTTGTAGTCAATTCCGGTGAAACAGAAAGTGACCGAAAATAAAATTATCTAAAAAAAAGTTATGGGGTATAAACATCGGGGATACATAAATCCCTGAATATCCAAATTTTTTGTTCACATTGTAAGTACATTATTCTGGTGTAAATATGTTCTAATTCTTTAGAAGTGTTACTTTTGTGTAATAAATACAAATTATTATAATTGTTTACCGTTTATCCCTTCCTATGGAATTTGATACCAAGCAGCTGTAGTTTCCAAAGTCGGAAAGCTGGACGTTCTTTATAGTGAGACTGTAAGTTTGAATATTTCTGGCCATTAATCTTCTGTCAGTAGGTTGTAACTGGAATGAGTCTTGGTACCATGTCACCTTAAAGAAATAACACAAATAAGCAGTGGCTCATCTAGTGATTGAGTCTGGGAGGGGTAGTAGCAATATTTAAATAAAGTACTAAAATTAAATTAAATTTTCGCTGAAAAGTATTGTGACTGGAAAAAATATACTTTGATTGGTTTGGATCTACTATTTTGATTGGTAACAGCTGATTGCAACAGCTTGCGTTAGTCAGTTGTATCCATAGAGAAAGCCTAATATTTAGCTTATAAAACAAACAACTTTTGATTTCTAACTACAAATACTCTTGACGGAAGATAATCAAAGGCCAAAATGACATTCTTCGCAAATTTTGAAGTATAAATAGTGGAAAAGTTAAAAGTTTGGTAACTTTTTCTACTAATTGAAAATGTATACCACTAATTTTGACGCTCTGAGTGCGTACATTGAAATTAAAGGAACAAACTTCTATGAAACCACTAATTTATTCCACTAATTGCGAGGATCTGAATGAAGCTTAAGATATTTAAATCTAAAACTCTGATTAAGTTTATAATTTTTAATTAAATTTAAATGTTGCTATGAATTCTTAACTACTTTATAATATACAAACACATACAACAAAATATTTAAGATTTTAGAAAACTTAAATTAAAAGAACTTAAACATAATTACGGTACACAATTTTTTTCCTTTTTCTTAAAACCTCCAATACTCCCTCCTTCCTTCTGATATTTCAATTATTGCCCGAGCTAGAGGAGCCGAGTTTCGAACGGAAATAGAACATTAATATAATTATAAATCACGAAGATTAAACATTTAAGAGGATTTGAGTTGTAATTTCCACGAGATGCCTAAAGTAAGATATTGGCTGCGAGACGGTCTCGACGTGCAGACTCTTCGTTTTAATTTTCTCTTTAATTAGTCAAGATTCCGCGTTTGTTTCACTAGAGGGGACGGAATATAAATAAATAGACTTACTTAAATAGATATTTCTAGTTCAAGTTGCAATATTAGTTTCTAGAGAACTAAAATACCTCGATAGGAGATTTTTTGCACATGAATAATGTTTCATATTTAAAAATTTCAGAGGTGCCCGGTGGCGTAGAGGCTCTTGTCTACCAATCTCAAGGTAGTGGGTTCGAATCCCACACCCGGCATTGCATCAGCCGACTATTTTTATTAAAATAAAAATAATTTGGGTCGACTCAGCCTTAATAATACCATAATACCTTGCTACTCCCAAGGCGTTAAACGCTATATACGGGAGCTACCGTATGATCGAGAAAAAATGGAGTCCAGTTGGCTTGGAAATGACGATCGTTGACATTTCCCATATAATTTTACATATAAAATGACAGCGATCTTCATTTCATAGCCATCGCTGACGCCGTTCTTTTTCGATCATGCGGTATTATTATTATTACTATAATGTTTCACAAACGATCTCTCGATGCGAGTAACTTTCTTTTTTTTAAATGGATCCTTCTATTTTTTTTATACACCGAGTGCGTCTCAAAAGTGGCTCACCCTTATAACTTTTTTATTTTTTCGAGTCGAAATTTGGTATGTTAGCATATGACATAAATTAGGATTGATTGACGTATTCAATTGTTTTCTGTCACTTCCTATTTCACAGGAAATGACTACAACTTTTGATTTTTAAATGGCACCCTCGGTATTTTTTTTATTTTATTCGATAGAAAATGACACTCTGAATAGAATGACATATTACATGCCAATTTTTGACATTTTCGTATATGATTTATTTGAAATTGTATAACATGCGGTTCATAACGAAAATTACTCGAAATACCAAATGTGTGCTACTAAATTGTTCGTAAAAAATGCTTTTTTCCAAATATGCCAATGAGCCACCCTCGTTCTATTTGAAAAAATTGAGATATGAATAAAAATACACTAAAAATATTAGACGATCAAAGGCTCCTAGATTAAAAATTGGTGTAAAAAAAATTACCGAGGGTCTCATTTAAAAATCAAAAGTTGTAGTCGTTTCCCGTGAAACAGGAAGTGACAGAAAACAATTGAATACGTCAATCAATCCTAATTTATGTTATATAACCATATCATAACACACCAAATCTCATTTGACTCGTTGTTAGATAATTTTCTACTTTTGAATATCCAGATAAAATAAAAATGTTCACTCAGTTTTAACTGTCCTTCTGTAAACTGTATTTATAACTTTTCGTTAGTTTTTATGTTCACTGCTTTTCTCTTAAAAACAAGAAGCTGAGCAAAATAAGCTGACAAGTGGTAATAAATGCAAAATAGTTCCCAGGCCGACGCGACGGACAAAAAACTTTAAACGGAAACAAAGTTTTCTTAATTGTTATATCCCCAAAGTTTGAAAACTTTTTGCGAGAACAAAAGCAAAAAGCTTTCTAGAAGAAAATCAGATTTAAAGGAAAAATTACTTTTATGGTCGAGAATGAAAGTTTTATATTAAAATTTTAAGGATATTATAACAGTATACCTATTCTTTGATAAATAAAAGAATAGGTTATGCTTGATAGTTAAGTGATTTTTAGATTTTTAGGAAAACAAATAATTTATTTTTTAGTAGTCAAAAAACAGACAGCATTGATTAAACTTTAGTGTGTTATAATAATACAGGGTGCGTCTCAAAAGTGGCTTACTTCTATCACTTCTTTACTTTTTCGATAAAAAAACGAAATTTGGTATGTTAGTATATGAGATAAATTAGGACTGATTGACGTATTCAATTCCTTTAGACCACTTCCTGTTTCACCGGAAATTACTACAACTTTTGATTTTTAAATGGCACCCTCAGTATTTTTTTTTCCTAGATTAAAAATTGGTGTAAAAAAAATTACCGAGGGTCTCATTTAAAAATCAAAAGTTGTAGTCGTTTCCCGTGAAACAGGAAGTGACAGAAAACAATTGAATACGTCAATCAATCCTAATTTATGTTATAAAACCATATCATAACATACCAAATCTCATTTGACTCGTTAGATAATTTTCTACTTTTGAATATCCAGATAAAATAAAAATGTTCACTCAGTTTTAACTGTCCTTCTGTAAACTGTATTTATAACTTTTCGTTAGTTTTTATGTTCACTGCTTTTCTCTTAAAAACAAGAAGCTGAGCAAAATAAGCTGACAAGTGGTAATAAATGCAAAATAGTTCCCAGGCCGACGCGACGGACAAAAAACTTTAAACGGAAACAAAGTTTTCTTAATTGTTATATCCCCAAAGTTTGAAAACTTATTGCGAGAACAAAAGCAAAAAGCTTTCTAGACGAAAATCAGATTTAAAGGAAAAATTACTTTTATGGTCGAGAATGAAAGTTTTATATTAAAATTTTAAGGATATTATAACAGTATACCTATTCTTTGATAAATAAAAGAATAGGTTATGCTTGATAGTTAAGTGATTTTTAGGAAAACAAATAATTTATTTTTTAGTAGTCAAAAAACAGACAGCATTGATTAAACTTTAGTGTGTTATAATAATACAGGGTGCGTCTCAAAAGTGGCTTACTTCTATCACTTCTTTACTTTTTCGATAAAAAAACGAAATTTGGTATGTTAGTATATGAGATAAATTAGGACTGATTGACGTATTCAATTCCTTTAGACCACTTCCTGTTTCACCGGAAATTACTACAACTTTTGATTTTTAAATGGCACCCTCAGTATTTTTTTTTTACTTTATTCGATAGAAAATGACACTCTGAATAGAATGACATATCATATGTCAACTTTTCACATTTTCGCTTAAAACAAAATTGTATTTTAAATTTCAATCTAGGATGCCATGGCTGTGTTAAAACACTAATTTTTAACCAAGGAGCACTGGAAAAATAGATTTGACCGTCTAATGTTTTTAGTGTCTTATCCTGGCCGGTTAAAATATGTATTTTTAATCATACCTCAAATTTTCAAATGGAACAATTGTGGCTCATTAGCATATTTGGAAAAAGACTTTTTCTAAGAATAATTTGGTGCCAAACATTTCGTATTTTGAGTCAAATTGTCGATATGAATCGCATATTGCAATTTCAAATAAACCATATTTAAAAATGTCACAAGTTGACATATTTATGATATGTCATTCTATTCAGAGTGTCATTTCCTATCGAATAAAGTAACAAAATACCCAGGGTGCCATTTAAAAACGAAAAGTTGTAGTCGTTTCCGGTGAAACCGGAAGTGACCGAAAACAATTGAATATGGCAATCAATCCTAATTTATGTCATATACTAACATACTAAATCTCAATTTTTTATCTGACAAAAAAAAGTTATAGGGGTGAGCAACTTTTGAGACGTACCCGTAGAGTTTCTTCATTTTTACAAAAATATTCATGTTCAAAATCAAATGTGAGTCTAATGTGAGTCTAATGTGAGTCTACAAAAGTAAAGAGGTTTAACTTTGATTACGCTCACATTTGATTAAAATACAGTGCGAAAAAAAAGTTTTATTGTTAAGAGTGCTTTTTTCTAACATTTTTTACTGTATGAAAAAATGTTAGAAAAAAATAGATTAATATAGATAACATTAGAAATAGATAACATTAGAAATAAATATTCATGCTTTATCTGTTTGGTTTATATTTTTAGGTTATAGATTATGTGGCTTTTATCACAATTTAATTACTTATGATGCACTTTTTTTTTATTAGAGAAAATCGTGGTTTTCGGAAAATAATTCTTAAATTTGTCATTGCCATGAAGTTTTTATTGTTAGCTGGATTAGTTGAAAATAAAGTAAGGTCTGTTCAGGAAAAGAACAGACGAAATTCAACAAAAAAAGTCCATTCAAAATATCTTGTCTTAAAAGTTGTTTTTGTAAACTATAGTTCATTAAAATCGTATATTGTTCCTGCCTGTATCGTTTTCTAAATATTTATTTTGAACTACTTTGTACCTTTACAAGTATGAAATAACCGAATTTGTAAATAAATAAATGAATAAAACAGGCTCTGTTTTGTTAAACTAATCTTAAATTATTACTGAAAATATTTTCTTCAACAATCTTAATTAGACTCTAAACAAATTGGCCCTTTGATAAAATTTTAGTTTATACTGTTATGTAAATTAAAGCTCGGGGTAGCTTGTTATCGCTTAAAGCACACAATTAACCTTTTTGCTTAATCTGTTATTGTTTATCTTACCTCCGCTGGGGGATCTGCGTGTACCACGCAATCCAGCCTGGCTTCCAGACCCTCTCCTGAATTGACCCAAGAGCGTAGCACGCTAACTTCCGGTGGATCTAAACATGAAATATAATTAAGACAAGGTTATTTTAGTATAATAACATACAAGGAGATTACTTGAAGTGTCTATATATTATATAACACTGACTTTTTTTCTCTTGTTAGCAAAATAGTGGAAGCAGTTTAATGCCGATTAAAAGTTGTCTCTTTATATTTTGCTGATTTCTTCCTCCTGGATGAAATAAACGCAATTTTAATAATTTGCTTTGATCCAAGTCTAATAGCAACCTCTAAAAAATTTAATATCTTTAAATTGGGAAAGTTTTAAATAAGTACTACTCATTGATTTCTCATCAAAAAATATGAAAAAAAGTTCCTATAAACATGGGTATGGAAATACTTATTTTTAGAGTTACAGGATGTTAAAACTTTTTAAAATTAGGTGTTAGTAATAATAATTAATATTAATAATATTTAATAATAAATTAGTTAAAATACATAATTTATTATTTTTATTTTAATTTTATTACTTGTGAATAATAAAATTGCGTTTATCTCATCAAGGAGGCGGAATGCGACAAAATATCACGAGATAACTTTTAATTGGCATTAAACGGCCTATACAATTTTGATATCAAAAGAAAAAAGTCAATGGCGCACATGTTTTTTTAAATATTCCAGTGATAACCCATATGCACATCCCTGATGACTTTATTTTTTAGCATTAAAATAGGTAGTACTTATAGTAACTTTTACACTCAAAATTTCATTCGAATCACTAAAAGTACTTAGATGAAAATTATAATAAATCGAAAGTTTACTAAGACTTTAACACCCTGTAGCTCAGAAATAAAACAGAATCGGACTTATGTTGATATAAAAAATAAATCTTATTTTTATGTGAGGAATCTTTTCACGAGAGATGGCACATGTTTTTTGAAAGACCCTGTAGATTCAACCATATTTTCATATTGTTTTATTTTTCTCTAAAACGGTATGGAAATTTATAAAAATATAAACGAAATTTGTTTGCTTCTGCTAAGAAGAATAAGCAAATACTTTTATGAAGAATACATTTTTCTAAGATGATGAAATATGTTCGTAAGCATTATATTAATTCAAAATTTCTCTTATAATTTATTATCATTAAGAATAAAAAGTAAAAAACATAAAAAAAATATAGTATCACAGTAAGAATAGTAAAAATACACTCATGTAGTTTTGCTTATTTACAAAAAATGACATTATTTTGTTGTATAATCTGTTCATTTATCATAATTTAACTTTTTATGATAGACATTTTCTTAGCAACACAGTGTCAATGTCTTGGAGAATATAATATGTATTTAATATATTTTTTAACAATAGACATAAGTTTTAATGTTAATGATTGTTTAGTGGAGCAAATATTTGTCTAAAGAACAAAAACACTTTTCCTTTCAAGCCTTTAAGAAAATATTGTTGTAAAATTAATTAATCTTATCTAGTAATATACAGGGTGGCGCACCTCATTTGCCTCGGTTGATTATACGAAAACAGAAAGATGTAGAAACAAAATATTTTATGGGTATATGTTTGGAGGGAATGTGCACAACTTAAAATTATTTTTAAATATAGAGGATGTTTCAGAACTAAGATCCATACTAAAGTTATATTTTTTCTTATAGAACACCCGGTATTTTATTTCATATTTGGATTCCTGGGTCCAAAAAAGGTTTAAAATTATTGGTTTTTGAGATATTTAAAGATATTTAAATTTGCATGCTACTATAGAATAGATTATTAACACCCTGTACATTACTTTTCAGAATTAATTCTTGTGCTCAATTTAAAGGTAGAGAAATAAACTTTACTGGAAAATGTTATTGCTTCCTTAAATTTATACAGGGGTATCGAAAATTGCTGATCTATTTTAAGGATATATTTTATATAAAAATTTTGTTGTAAAAATTTTTTTGTTGTCCCTGTATTTTTTTATAATAAATCGAAGCAGATTCAAATGCTCTTTCAAACTATATTAGGGTTTCCTATACCTATCTAGCTCAGAGGGCTAGTGTCGTCATGGTAAGTCTCTAGTGACAGTTAGTAGCTATTTTCAAAATCGAAATTAGTGTATGGGCTTATTTAAATTTTTAACAGTTTACTTTTATTTAATTTACCTACAATAGTTTAATAAATAATATTTATTAAATATGTATTTATTATTCTATCAAGAAAAACGAAAAAGTAGTTCTTTGATTTATTTTACGATGTATATATGGATTTTCTATAAAAGATACAATTACAGCAAATTAATTTTCTTCACTTCCAACGACAGGTTTCTGCCTAACAGTTTTTTTATAGACGACACTAACAGCTCTGCGAAATGGGATAAGTAGTTTTTCAAAGGAACGCTTATCAGGAAAATTCCTATTTTTGGATACCTTTGAGCATTAGCTTGAGGCACAGAAGCTATTTTCCTCACAAAATAAAATCACTAGAAACATATCCATTCGTACCGCCAGCAGATACTGCTGTATTTTTCTTGATAAAATAATGAATACTTACTTATTAAACTATTGTAGGTAAATCTAAGTAAACTGTTATAAATTATAAATAATAATGGCCATAAACTAATGTCGACTCTGAAAATAGTTACTAACTGTCACTAGAAAATTGCCATGGCGCCACCAGCCATCTCGAGTGCAATTTTATTCAAAAATCGTTTTTTATTCAAAATTTGAACTAGATAGGTATAGGAAACACTAATATAGTTTCAAAGAGCATTTGAATCTGCTTCGGTTTATTTAAAAAAATACAGGGTGTTGCATTTGAAATATCGACGTTTTTATATAAAATAAATCCTTAAAATAGATCAGCAATTTTTGATACCCCTGTAGAAATTTAAGGAAGCAATGCCGCTTTTCAGTAAAGTTTATTTCTTTACCTTTAAACTTAGCACAAAAATTAATTCTGAAAAGTAACGTACAGGGTGTCAATAATCTATTCTATTGTAGCATGCAAATTTAAATATCTTTAAATATCTCAAAAACCAAAGATTTTAAACATATTTAACCCTTATAATAAATGACTTTTTTTGTGGCCAAGAATCCAAAAATGAAATAAAATACAGGGTGTTCCATATGGAAAAATATAACTTTGGTATGGATCTTTGTTCTGAAACACCCTGTATATTTCAAAGTAATTTTAAATTGTGCATATTGCCTCCCCACATATACCCATAAAATATTTTGTTTCTACATCATTTCGTTTTCGTATAATCAACCGAGGCGAATGAGGTGCGCCACCCTGTATAGTAAATTTCTATATTTCATCTTGTTTATTTCTAACGTTGATGGAAGAACATTTTAAGATATGTAAATGTTTTTAGGTCGTTAGGTAAATTTGTGTTCAAGTAATGATCTATTAAATATAATTAGTTTACGGCAGTCTTTAGTCTGGTAGTCAGTGATATATGTGTATACATTATACATAAAACAAATACTCCTCCTTTTTGGAAATTTGTTATGTAGCCCAGCATTATTTGTTATTGTCGATATCCAGCTAGAACTCTTTTAGCGGCTTATCGTTAAGTAAAGAAGATTCCTGCATCAAAGAAAGAATATGCACAACAGGTAATACTCAAACTGTTGAAAAATAGAAATATCCAGCTGGATAATAAATCAGCAGTCATCCAGGCTTCAAAGTCATATTTATTTTCATGATCTACTTACATAACACGTGCAATTTTATTTCACCAGTGACTGGCTGGCCTATTCCGTTTGAAGCTGTACACTGGTAAACACCCCCATCTTGTCGTTGAACTTCGTTAATGTTGAGCAAATACCCAGTCTCTACTTGCAGTCCTGATGGTAGTAAGCCATCCTGAAATAAACATTAAATATCATTTTCCTTCAATCGAAAACTTTAATACTATATAAATTGTAATTCTATAACTGTCCCAAAATAACATACAATCTAGTCAAATGAAAGCGACATCACAGTAACCGAAATATTTCTGAATTAACATGGATCTTGGATATATATAATATATAAACTTTTTTATAATCATTCGAAGAAGTGAAGAAAAATACATAATATGAAATAGTCAGCTATTCTGATTTTGCCCGTTCGATTGGTAATAAATTTAAAAAATTGGAATATTTTGGTTGTAATGATTATAAAGCGTCAAAACATACATAATATGAAATAGTTAGCTATATATTCTGACTTTGCCCGTTTAATTGGTATTAAATTTAAAAAATTGGAATATTTTGGTTGTAATGACTATATAGCGTCAAAACAAACCAAAAATTAAATAATATTATGAATTAATTTTTTGGCGATATTTAAATTTGTTTTCCATAATAATGGAAGACTAATCAAATCGGGATGAGAAATAAATGGATTTAAGTTGAAAATGTTATACTAACAGAATAATATAGAATTAGAAGTATTTGAAATATTGAATTAATAATAATTAATAATAACATAGGCTTGGTGTATTTCAGTTGATTTTAAAAATTCCGACCGCAGCGCTCGATACGGCAGAAATCAGAAGTTTTTGGCCCTGTATTTCATGAAGTTCCGATGTTGATCGCATTGAAATAATATTATAATCGTAGTTTTGTCACAATATTTAAGTATTTGAGATAGTGCAGTTATTGAAACTATAAAGCACTCAGGTACAAGGTTTGTGTGATGTAACGCTGTTTCGGGTAATAAAAATTAAGTGAAAAAGAACCCGAACGGGGCATCGCTGTGTGTTGTGAGAATTTCAAATGTTAATTATATTGCCGAAAAAATGTTAACGCGTTACAGAGGGCGTAATTACGTGGTTGTTGGGTTCAGAGTTGTTGGGTGCAGTAACGTTCAATAACTCAACTTTCCCGAATATTCAAATCTCCCGAAACAACATTTTATAGTTTCACAACTTCTCACATCGATTTGATCAAAACAAAAATGAATTCAAGCAGCTCGACGAAACAAGTGAGTAAACAAAACCATAATCAAAAAATTAATTAGGCATATACTATGAGAGGATAAATTATAATTTGCAATATTGTTTTATGAACATCTTCTAAAATGATAATTATGCATCTTAAAAAAATCATTATAATCGAAATAGACCCAGTTATGTCTCCGCTAGCAAAATCGGTGAGTAAAACTATGCTAGCTACCTATTTAAACTATCTAAATTCTAGCTACCTATTAAACTCATCTAAAAAGTTTTATTACCTTGAATAATAAATTATAATACAAGTTAGACTTTCTGAAGATATCAAAATATTTACTTTTTTATTTCTATTTTTAGAATTTCCACAAATTATACTTCCTAACACGTTTAGAATAATTATATAGTAATTGTTTCGTATACTAGCTATTTAAACCCATGTATTTGTATATGCCGGTTGTTTAGGATATTCTCCGATGGTGGCAGCACCGGCGGAGAATGCGTCAAGTCTATAGGTTACGTTACATGCTCAAAATAAATTTCGATAACAATAAAACACATATTAATTATCCACTATACAACATATAGCTTGGGTATTTCACCAGAAATGTACACAGCTATTGTTGTCATTATTAAATGATTACAATAGCTCGATAATACTTTTATATATTTTATCCTTTTAGAAAGCGTAATTAGATAGGTTTATTTGAGGGATAATTTGGAAGACAAAAAGAAGTAGATTTATCTGCAACCGTTATCGATAGAAACCGTTGTAGGAAAACTCGGAAAATATACGGTCGGTCGTTCGGGAAACAATGGGAAACCGATTATGTTAATACATTCTCGTCTCACTTTGTAACGGTTGAAATGTTGATTGAGATTGGAGGAATAGATTTTTCTTTGGAACCTACATCAGACGGATTTAACAAAGATAATTTACATTATTGATGGAAATGGTTTTAAATATAAAGCATACATACTGTTTGTTAAAAGATCGTTAAATGTTGCGTCATTTATACTGTTTATGAAATGTGTGTTTTAGAGTATGTCTGATTAAAAATAAAACTAGTGAATAAAAAAATATACATTTACGACGTTTTTTACGTAAAAAAGACCTTTTGGTAAAAATCGCCACGAGTAATGGTTCTCGGGATATTTGGAACCGAAATTATCAATACCTGTCATCATTGACATAAACCAAACACGTTAACTAAATAGTTATTAGATTGAAATCATAAATTTGAAATGTTTTTGTGCCAAAATTTCTACAGAAACTGTTTCATTATCATTTTTTCGAAGAAAAATTTATGATTATGTTAAAAAAAGTTCCCAAATATACAATTTCAGTCAAATAACTATTTAGTATCTATATCTCTACAACTATCTATAATAACACATTTATTTTTTGTCAATGATGACATGTATTGATAATACACATTTTAAATATCTTGAGAACGATGATTACTCGTAGAGATTTTTATCAAGAGTCCTTTTTACGTAAAAAATTAGTAAGTATTTTAGTTCAGTAATTTAGTTCAGTAATTTTATACAGGTACGGACGAAAAGATATTACTCTTCAAACCAATTAAAAAATATATAGGTGGCATAGGTGGTATTGCTCATGGTATAAACCAGCTAGACATCATTTTGATCCAAATATCGACATTAGTTCAGAAATTATTTCGAATAAATCGAAATAAAAAAGAAATTTCTACACCCTGTATCACTGAAACGAGGCATTTTAAGATATAAATTTATAGGAACTTTTTTATTTAATTTTATCTGCAGAATATGCTGCCGAAGATTCCCGTATTCAATTCAGACAACCCTGTAGAAAAGGTTAATTCTCTGACACCAATTTAAAATATAATATATTAACCTAATTTTTTTGGAATTTGGTTAGGAAAGAATTATAGGTTTGAGATTATCTTTCCTAAACTACGGTAAATTAATCAGGTCAAACTCTAGTTTTCATATATCCAAATTTCGTACAAAAAAATTACGTAAAAAATAGATTTTAAAAATTACACATTTAATGCTTTGCAAGTTCCAAATATTTCGGAAGAATTAAAAATCACCCAATCATTTTTCGTTAATTAGTGTTTTACCGTGTGTTTTAAAATATCATTGTTAAAAATATTTCAAAAAACTTAATGTTAAAATCAAAAATAAAGTCCAAACCACTGTCAAAAAAATCTTTATTAGTGACCGGTTTCGGCAATCCCAGCCATTATCAGACTTTTGTAAAAAACGGCTGTTCGTTTGACTTTACATATATAATAAATTGCATGCCTGGTAAAAAACTTAATGTTAAAATCAGAAACAAAGTCCAAACCACTGTCAAAAAAATCTTTATTAGTAGGTATGCAATTTATTTTATATACAAAGTGTTTCAAAAAACATGTACCATCTCTCGTGGGGAGATTCCTCACGTAAAAGTAAGATTTATTTTTCATATCAACATAAGTCCGATTCTGCTTTATTTTGTAGCTACAGGGTGTTAAAGTCTTAATATTTTTGTGATTTATTATAATTTTCTTCCAAGTACTTCTAGCGTTTCGAATAAAATTTTGAGGGTAAAAGTTACTATAAATGCGACATATTTTAAGCCTAAAAAAGTCGACATATTCACCAGGGACGTGCATATGGGTTATCGCTGGAATATTTGTCTAAAAAAAGCATGTACGCCAATGCCTTTTTCTCTTGTTAGCGAAATAGTGCAAACAGTTTAATGCCGATTAAAAGTTATCTCTTGATATTTTATCGATTTCGGCTTCCTTGATGAGATGACACAATGTTATTAATTTGCCGTGATTCAAGTCTATACCATTATTTTTATTTGAAATTGCTGTAGATTGGACTAACAGTAATAATAAATAATAGTAATAATATTTAATAATAAATATAAATAAAATATATAATTTATTCATTTTATTTTAATTTTATTAATCCGGTGTTTAACCATAGTAAATTTTTGTTATTTTTAATATAATTTAAATGAAAAATTTTTAATCAAATTCAACTGAAGTGATTAAAAAGTACTCCCTCAATACAAAAAGAAATGCAACGAATAATAAATCAAATTCAATACAAATTTCACTGGTTTGAAATGACGCGTAGAAAATTGTGACGTCACCTATCAGCATTTAACTGAATCGTTGACAGAGGGCGCGAGCCTTTGAAGAATATTATAGCGTGTCTAGTTCTCTGCTACCATATTTACACCATATATCTTAAAATCACGTTAGATTTTTCTATTTTTATTAAAATCGTTAAAAAATACGTTTTTATGTGGGATTATTCTTTATTACCCCAATATTAAATTGACTTTTATATTTTTTACTACTAGTAATTAAAACTTAATTTTTTATAATTAACAGGTACTGCCATTTTTATCAAAGCACTAAACACTACCTACTACCAATGTTGTTCGGATGTTCGAGGCGTTCGAGGGTTTCGAGGTTAGATTTGTATTTTGTGGATTTTGCGTTTGGCGTTAAATACTTTTTTTGAGTTTTCAATTTTGTTTTATTGTACCCTCATTATTATTTTTGTAATGAAGGGTGTTAAAGTTTGTTTTGTGAAGGGCTGTCTAAATAACTCTGAAGGCTTTCCAGAAAAAGTTTTTATAACTGTTCCTTTGGAATGAAAGCCGTCGAAGAGCCTTGTTTGAAGCGGCAAGACAACAATATGTCAGCAAAAGCACGAGATTTTGCTGTGAAGATCATTTTAACGAGAAGTTCCTTAAGTTTTATTTTACAATTAATTTTATATCTACTTTAAAACACATTTAGAAAAATGGTTTTTATTTATCTTTGAACCTGGTGGCAAACCGTGACACTTTTGATAGGTGACGTCAGAGATTGCAAAAGTGTAAATTCGAAATTCTTAATATTGGTTAATTTTTTTTTAAAAATGGGATAAAATTGAAGTAAAATAAAAAAACTATGGTAAAACTCCGGATTGTGATTAATAAAATTACGTTTATCTTATCAAGGAGGCCGAATTCGACAAAATATCAAGAGATTTTTAATTGTCATTAAACGGCCTACACAATTTTGATATCAAAAGGAAAAAAAATCAGTAGCGCACATGTTTTTTTGTGAAAAATATTCCAGTGATAAACCATGTGCACGTCCCTGATTAATTTATCGACACTTTTTAAGCATTAAAATATGTAGCACTTATATAGTAACTTTTACCCTCAAAATTTCATTCGAATTACTAAAATTACTTGGAAGAAAATTATAATAAATCGAAAAATTATTAAAACTTTAACACCCTGTAGCTTCAAAACTAAGTAGAATCGGACCTATGTTGATAGGATGAAAAATAAATCTTATCTTTTTTAAAATTAATCTTAGTTTTTTGAAAAATCCTGCATAAAGTCAAACAAACAATTGTTTTTTGAAAAAGTTCTGATGATGGCTCGAATTGCAAAAACCGGTCACTAATAAAGCATTTTTTGTCAGTGGTTTGGACTTTGTTTTTGACATTAACATTAAGTTTTTTACCATGGGCCAACACTTTGTGAAAATGAACAAACTCTATAACATAAAAATATTTCACACCACTGTTCGGTTTTTATATGATTCAAAATAAAAAATATATAAATTGTAAAATTAGTAATTTTTTAATGGCCATAATGCGTTGTTTCAAAATCATCGAACAACTAAATCATTTCTATAGATCCAGTGACGTACCGTGACTTTGAATTTTGAGACCAAAAACTGACAAATAATAGCTTTGTTCGGGTTCTTGTCATTACCGATTTTGAACCGTCCTAGAACTCTGCAGCGCATGCGCAAATGAAATAATTTATCCATATTTCCTTCTGCGCATGCGTATCACAGTTCTAGGACGGTTCAGAATCGGTAATAAGAAAAACCCGAACAAAACTAATTTGTCAAAAAAATCATATTACAGCTATATGTTTTATTTTGCATAAAAATGTTAACCAATAAGTTAGAATAATTATATTTCTTTCCTAACTAAGTGGTTTTATCGCTAAATTTAACTAAAGCTAAATACAACACAAATCTTAAATACGTGGACTATTATAACAACAAATACATCGTAAAAGACTATTTTGGTAGCATTCTGAACGAGGATTCAAGTTAAACTTTTTAGAAAATAATTTAAAGGAAAAATGAACCTGCTCAGATGCTTGTTCCGAGTAAAATCCTAGAGCTCTATGATTTGCTTTTATAAACTCTGGCACATGATGCAGAATTGCATGAATCTTTGGAGTTATCTTAATACCTAAGTTGAGTATTTCCAATCTAAATTGTTCGATGTCATGTTCAAAATGTTTTGTTTAGTGCTTGACCAAAAAAACTCGAAACTACTTGATTGAATGCAGAAAACACTGCAATATATTTATTTCCTAAAAAAAAGATGTTTAGGTTTTTGCTTGTCAAAACTTTGAATAGGATTCTTTACCGGGCGATATCGTCTTATCAAAATATCCACTTTCTTTAAAAGTTGTCTGGCGTTATTTCCGTTACATTTTCCATAATGATCTAGTTTCAATCCCGCTTTTTTATCCATCCTGTTGCAACATTGGTATTCTCCAATTCAAGACAATCAAATAGTTTTTGAACCACACCTAACAAAAGATGAAGCTCATG